ACCACAAGCGCTATTATGGTAATCATCAGCAGCACCACTGAACAGACGCCATCACCATCAACATCAACATCATCATCATCTTCATAATCATCATCATCACCTACAGAGAAGGAGCGTTTGAACAGAAGGGATGAAAATAGAAAATATAAAGGCTGATCAATATTTGCAATTGGAACAAAAGAAGAAGAAGATTCCAACGACAACTTTGTTGATGTATTCTCACAACAAAAAGTTTGCCTTGACAGTAGTCAATTGAATCTTGCGCAATGCTCTTCAGCATATCTCAATATTGCACCGTTACACAAACCACCTTTTCAATGTCAAGCTGTCTAGTGCAGCTGCAACTGGTCGTCGGCGTCGTTTGCAGACAATGACAGTCTCCCTTGACTTATCAGTCAATGCTTAACTTGGACCTATTGTCCCTGACAGTTGTCTCTTTCTCCTTTTTTTCCTCTTTGCCCTCACTGTCTCTATTTCCTTAGAATATTAGGTCAAGAGTTTTCCTGTTTTTACTGTGCCTTTTTTGCCGCTGATGATGTTACATTTCCCAGTTTGACGACAGTTTGCTAAACAAGCAGAAGCAGCAGTAGAGTAGTGTTAGTGTTTGACTGCAGGCAGCAGTGTGGAGGAATTCAATTCGTCCTTGAGGGTTGGCCATTTTTCGTTCTATTTTCTCCCTGTGTCACTAACTATGAAGATGATGGTGATCTTGGCGGAGGAGGTGCTCATTGAAGCAGAGATAATAAAAAATAAAAATCAATTCAACAAACGCTCCTATTAAAAACAAATTAGACATTGAAAAGCCGGCGGCAGTTTAAATTAGAGTGCAAATTGCCATTCCTCCAACTCTCACAAATTCAAATGTCAATAGACCTACTTTGGGGAACCCTGGCAAATGCTGAGTGATGCAGCGCAAATTCATTCGTTCACTGCACCAGAGCACCCTTAGCGCCACCTCGTAACGGACTGCTCCAATTGGAACAGCGCCTGCACGCATGGCAGCAACTTGCCCAGAGACTGTTTGGTGGGGGTAGAAAGAGCTGGAAAACAAACAGAGCAGAGAGCATCACTGCATCGGACGCGGACCAGTGTTTGTGGAGTAAAGTGGAGTGGACGGCGCACTGGCAGAAACACTGACTGACGCCGCTGATCCACTTTTTGCGCGCACAGTCCTCAAGACGCCACAGAGAACTTGGCGAGTGAGTGAAACGTCGTCATCTTCATCCTCCCCGCCAGCAATGTTCCCTGCACCTCGACCATGGCCCTGAGCAACGGCCATCTGTGTCGTTCACTGCCAGTGAACCAGCTGCTGCAGCAAATCATCGGCGCCTTAGATGAAGAATGGATCGACGAGTGTCGGACACTGTGGCGCCTTCTGCAGTCGCCGCATCTGCAGGCACTGCTCAGCGTCACTGACGTCGTCGCCCGCCAGGCCTATGACCTGGACAACCTGGAGCACATTCTCCAGGTGATGACCGGCGAGAGTGCCGCCAAGGAGAAGAGCACCAAGACAACGCTGCTCTACAAAGATCCGCCAAAGGCACCTGACCGACGACGGAAGGCGAAGCCCCGACAGAAGGTGGTCAATGTTTTCAAGAGTCAAGAGCCGCTGGGGGTGACGGTGCGCTTTGACGAACAGACGGGCGACATTGCCCTAGCCCGGGTGCTGGTCGGCGGTGCGGCCTACCGCAGCGGTCTGGTCAACGTCGGCGACCGAATCCTCGAGGTGAATGGCATCCCACTGCGTGGCCGCTCACACCTCGATGTGATCAACATTCTCCAGCGAGAGTGCCTCAAGTCGATGATCTCATTTCGAATTGTCGTCCTGCGACAGACAACTGTCAACAACGGCGGTGGTGGAAGAGGTGGTGGCGGCGATGAAGGCGATGGCTTCGTCCGTTCCTCGATGTACATCGTCCGGGCGCATTTTGACTACAACCCCGCTAGTGACTCGCACATTCCCTGCAACAGCATCGGTCTCTCCTTTTCTCGTGGCAGCATTCTCACTGTGCTCAACCGCGACGACCCCGAGTGGTGGCAGGCGTGCATGGAACAGCAGGAGACGCAAGAGAGGACGACGGCAGTGGGCAGCTGCAAACGACGCATGGAGGTCTTCACCATCGCCGGCCTCATTCCCAGCAGTCACCTGCAGGAGCGGCGGACAGTGGCCATTCGGGAGCTGAAGAGCCACCTCGACCGCTACCGCTACATCCACATCCTGGGCGGCCTTCTGCCGACGCCCTTTCGCAAGGCCAAGTGGTCCGTGCAGAAGGTGCGCAAGGTGATGTACGGTCTGGAGGAGTGCAGTGCCTTTGACCGCGAGGAGATCGCCACCTACGAACCGGTGGGCAAGTACCTGCCCGAGGGAGGCCACTTCCGCCCGGTGGTGCTCATCGGCCCCAGCGGCGTCGGCTGTTCGACGCTCATTCAGCTGATGATCTGCAGACAGCCGGGTCGGTACCGGGAGCCACTGCTGCACACCAGTCGGTACCGTCGCTTCGCCGAGGCTGACGGCCTTGACTACTACTTTGTACGCGAGCAGTGGATGGAGCGGGAGATCAGCCGGGGCAATTTTGTGATTTTCTACAAACTTCGAGGCAACTACTACGGCCTGCACAAGTCTACCATCAGGGCGATCATGGAGGAGGGACATGTGTGTCTCTTTCAGATGAAAGCGCAGTTTTTGCGACTAATCTACACGGCCGAGTTTAAACCCTACGTCATCTTTATCCGCCCGCCCTGGGACATTCACAAACTGGTCAACTCGAGACTGTCCCACGCAATGGCGGCCTATGGTCCGTTCATTGGTGGTCTCAACGGCGGTGGCAACGGGCGGAAGACTCGCGCCCGCCTCGAGTATGAGATGCACCTAATGATCTACGAGGCACACCGCATCAACTACCTTTACGGGCACAAGTTCGATTCATTTCTAGTCAATGAGGACCTGGGGCAGACCTTTCACCTGCTCAGCGATATTCTCGTCTCGGTGGAGAATGAGCCCAAGTGGGTGCCGCTGTCCTGGATCAGCAAGCCGTCCTGTCGGTGAAGTCAGTGAGTGAGAGAGACAATGCCAAGTCGCATTCTTCAACTGTCCACTAAAGAGCAAATTCAAAACACTATTCCAACTGCCAATTACGAAAGCCCTTTTGCTATTTTCTACACTTTTCCTACTCCTATACACACTCTATACACATTTTCACGACACTACATTTTGTGTTTCTACATTGCTTTTCAATGCGTTCATGTGCTGCTTCGGAAGCAGGCGTTTTCCATATTGTTTTGTACACAATAAAGCTTGCTATACACTAAATCTTGGTGACATGTTATCATGACGTTCTGGTGAACAGCCTCGAACAGTCACATCTTTGGAGTAAGGCGATGCTACCGAGGAAGTGCTCAAGGACAGCAGTGAGTGGAACATTGTGACTTTTATGTGAAATTGCTGTTGATGGCTGTTGTGGCAGTGGTCGACTGGTCAGTTCAACAATCTTGAGCCAGATGTTGATGTCCTACTGACAAAAAAAGGTATTTAAAAGGAGAGAAAGTAGAAACTGATTCAGAGAGATCCGATAATCCAAACTCTCGCCACAAAACCCTTTTCAATCGACTCAATCGATCAATCAAGAGCATTGTTGCTGATGCTGTGAGAATACTTTCCCTTCAGCTGTGGTGAAGGCTGTTTGCACAAACAGTATGGCACATTTCATCAACAACCTGTTGGTTGACTCCGGGAGCAAACCACAACAGCTAAAGAGCCTCCTGTTGAGCTGCGTCGTTGTTTGAGCGAATGAAATCATTTGGAACGGCTCATTTTCAGTTGACTGTGACAGAAGTCAAGTGACATTGCCGCATCCTCTCTGATGCCTTAATGACATTTCCATCCATCCCCTTCTGTACATGGAGGCCCACGTTGGCACATGATTCAACTTGTTAGTAATAGCGCAGTGAAAGGTACCAGTGGCGTGCCCCCAAAGATTGGCTGCCGAAGACGAAGGCGCAAGCAGGCAACAGGCGGGCACGACGTTCACGAATGCGCGGCCGAGGGCTCTGTCGCCCGTCCTATCCACAATCTTTTGCTGCTGTTGCTGTTGCTGCTGTACTGCAGCCACGAGAAACACACACGCAGAGAGACAGACAGACAGATTTGTACGCGATGTGAGGATAATTTTGGGAGACTGTGTGTACGTCTAATTGTTGCCTCTCTGCTTCTTCTTCTCGAGCTGTGCTGCTGCTGCTGCTGCTGATGCTGCTGATGTCGAGACGAGGTCTTGGTGAGTGGTGAAGACGCTCACTTCGGTTCGACATCACCGCAGCCACCACCACCACCACCACGACCATCACCACCATGAGTAGTGCCACCTTTATCGTCATCCTCGGCCAACACTGAAATCGTGGTGATATATTCCCTCTGCACCCTGTGCAAGTGTCTCCGTCTCCGTCTCCATTGTATGTGTGTCGTTTTCACTGTGCCCGCAAAGTGTTATCCACTGAGCGCCTGTTGTATGTTATGTACAACGGCAGCGACAGATGAAGTAAGGAGCACCAGCTAGCGTCGAGCCAATCAGCGAGATACCACGAGAGCCCCCTTCTTCCACTTATCACTTGGACTGCCTTGTGGACAACTGCATCAACGGCAAGAGCTCCAGCCACCGCCGCCACCGCCACCACCACCACCACCAGAGCATCATCTCAGTACTCTGTCTTGAAGCATCCTCCACAAGCAGTT